AGTAGAGACTTTGTAATTGCTATTAGAAAATTAAATTGCTGAATGTCATTCGATCAGTCAAGGAAATTGTTATGTTTTTTTTTTATATATCCACGCACACATAGACTTTCCCAGCTATAAATAGGAGCAGGTACTGCCTTTGGAGAGAGAAGTTTCCAGCAGTCAGTTCTGACAGTCGGACCGAACATTCTTCCTGTAACACTCTCGTTTGTATATGTTTGTCTTTCTGTTCCTGTTAATATATTTGTTTAACTCAATTCCTCTCTTTATTTCTTTATTTCTGGCCCTAACAAGGCCACAACAGAAATACCCAAACATATTCGTTGTAGTAGAGACTTTATAATCGCAGATACAACAATATTAACGCCGGCAAACAATACTGGTGTCAGACCGCCTTCGAATATCACTCGCACTAATAGTACTCGCTCGAACACTAACCACCGTATGGTGATACGAATAGTGAAATAGTATAAAGAATAGATTAGAGAATAGCGATCCGAACGGTAATAGAGGATAGACTAGAAATAGCGATCCGAATCATAATAGAGGATAGACTAGAAATAGCGATCTGAATAGTAATAGAGGATAGACTAGAAATAGCGATCTGAATAGTAATAGAGGATAGACTAGAAATAGCGATCCGAACAGTAATAGAGGATAGACAAGAAATAGCGATCCGAATAGTAATAGTGGATAGAATAAAATTAGCGATCGTTAGTCGTCACGATACTTTTTATGCGTTTCCTCTATGGTCACATGATCTAATTAATTCAATAATGGGATCGCCTGTGTTTGCTCACTGGCGATCTATGTTCAGACTTAAATGCCAGCAACGACGCTTTATTTCTATATGACAAAAACCCTTGCTCAAAATTTATCAATGCTTATTACTAATCCCAATGAAGTCCCAGAATGGATCACTGATAATATTACATATCTCCTGCTAAAAACGGCTGGAGCAGATGATCCGAAAAATTATAAGCCAGTAACATGTCTGTCCACCACGTATAAATTGATCACGTCTGTCCTGACGAACTGTGTTTACTCTTTTCTCGAAGAAAACTGCATTGGAATAGAAGATATGTCGCAGAGGTTCACATGGTTTCAAAGATCAACTATTGATGAACAAAATGATCCCTGAAGACTACAGTAAAAAAGGTAAAAATCTCAGAGCAGAATGGATAGATTACCGTAAATCCTTTGATAGTGTGTCACACTTTTGGATCCTTAGAATTTCGGAAATGCACAAAGTCTCCACGATGATAGTAAATTTCCTTAAATACAGCATGGGAATTTGGAAAACCATAATATACTTTTAATCCCATCAAAGGGACTGCCACTTCTAATATCCGACAAGTAGTTCTTCAAGGAGACTCCCTGTCACCCTTTCTGTTTTGTCTGTCCTTAATCCCCCTTAAGCATGACCTAAACAATAATAGCTATTGATACAAAGTAAAAAAAGAAATTGTTCAATCACCTACTCTAAATGGATCATCTCAAACTCTTTGCCAAGGACGACAATGAGTTGAAGAGTCTCCTCAATACTGTAAAATGTTTCAGTGACGACATAGGTATATCGGATTAGTTGAAAGGGTAAGAGTACCATTCAAGACAGAGAATTACTGAAACACCCTCAATAGATGTAAACTTCGTCACAATGATTAGGGAACTGGAACAAGAAGCAGCCTATAGGTACCTAGGATTTACCGAAGGAGATGAAATACAATATAATCAAATGAATGAGAAAGTAAGAATACTACAGGCGGATGTGTCAGGTACTGAATACCGAGAAGAATTTAAAAAAAAATAGAATATCAGCCATAAACACCTTGGCTGTCCCTGTGGTGCAATACAGTTTCAACATCCTTAACTGGACCATAGCTGAGATTAAGCCAATGGACTCCAAAACGAGAAAGCTTCTCACTTGCCACTGTATGCATCATCACAAGGCTGCTGTTGATCTTCTGTATGTGCCCAGATCCGAAGGAGGCAGAGGATTAGTTCAACTATACGGCCTTACAAAGCTACATCAATCGGCCTTTAAAGTTACCTAGAAACACAAAAGAAGACTAAATGATGATCTATGTCAAAAAACATGAAAATTTATTCCGTAATAAAGGGAGCCAACAAGTTGAAAATAGTTTCAATGGGTGAAGAAATGAAAGTAAAAAAGAAATACGCCTACTGAAGCTCCAAAACCTTAAAAAGGAAGCAAAGACAATTGACCAGGTGCAGGAACGATGGCAAGATAAACCACTTCAAGGTCAATATTCTACCTGTACCAAACATGCTAATGTAGACAAAACCCTTAACCATCAGCGGCTACGTAGTGCAAGGTTAAAAGCTGAAACCGAAGGTTTTATCCTTGCTGCACAGGACCAATGCTTGTTAACTAAAAATTATCAATCACACATACTAAAATATTGTGTTAGCCTAAAATGCAGGTTCTGTGGTAATTATCCAGAAACAATTGACCATCTTTTATCAGGTTGCACGATAT